TGGATGATAATGGAATAGTTTAGGTTAGATGGGCTTCAGATTGGTTTTACAGGTTGGTGCAACATCAAGGGCTGAAGGGCCTGTACTGCGTTGTAATGTTCTATGTTCTATGTTCCCCGTGTGATTCTAGGACTGAGGCTTGGCCGGTGTTGCTGTGGGGCCAGTGAAAGTTCTTACCTTGCAATCTTCACAGTGCTCGCTTTTGTCTCCTTCCTCACATGGACATTTATCACAATCATCGCAGTGCTGTGGGGACAGAAGGCAATGGTGTTTAACTTAAGTCACTTCACAACCTAATGTGACTGTCTCTGAGTCAAAAACCCTAGCAGCATGGTGCACATCCCAAGTTCTGCAGCGGTTTAAGATGTGGCTCACTACCGCCATCTCCAGGGCATTACGAGGGGGAGCAGCAATAAATGCTGGCCCAGCCACATCGTATGAACAGATAATAAAAAGAAAATTGAGATGGCATAAAGCACCCAAAAGAGAAAGCTTCAAATCTGACACAAACTGAGGAACTTTGCTGAAGAAAAAGAGGCAATTGCAGAAGATTTGCATTTTGCCCTCATCAGGACACATGCAAGACTACCAAATTTCAAATTCTCACTACAATCTGTATGACCTGGGAAAAGGGGTACTGACTGGTTGATTGGTTGGCAAGTCAACTCTGTTTGGCTGAGGCAATGCCACAGATGAAGAAAAATCAGTCACTTAAAGCTGCCCTAAACGAAGGGTAATTCTGGGAAATTCAAACTTTATTGTACTCATGTTTGCGGGGAATGTGTTTCTGTGTATGAATGTGTGTGGCTCCTGGCAAACGGACCCTCATTTTATACTCAACTGAGTGTTCTTTGAGAGGATTAAGTTCTCTAGGTGCTGGTTAATCTCGGTAACGGAGTCCTTATTGTGTGAAGATCGTCCTGAGTTAAAGTTGGTTGGAATGCTGACCTTTCACCTCTGAACCCTGGTCAATGGGAATGAATAACAGGCAGTTCCTCAGACAGCCAATTTACCAAAGGTGCCAGTTTTATACCTAGGTTGTCAGTCTAAGTACCGTTCTGTTCTGGTTTCTCAGACCGTGTCTCGCCCAGACACAGAAATCTGACTGACCAATCTTCAAAAAGACCAAATCAATCTTAAAAACAATCAAACTGCTCACCTCACAGAAGATGCAATAACTGCACAGAGAACCATCTTTGTATCCTTCAGCTTCTGCCTCACCTGCCAAAAAAAAAGATTAAATCAAAGAGGCAACTAAAACAAAGAAGATCTTATTTCGTGGGTCATGGCAATTAATAATTTAGTGACCTAGGCAGAGATTGTCGATTCAAATCCTTCCACAGCAGACTGGGGTGGAATTTAAATTCAACTAATAAATCAAGAGTTGCTTAAAGCTGTCCTTTGCAATGGTGACAGTGAAATTAGCATTGATTGTTATAAGATTCCATCTGGTTCACTAATGTCCTTTAGGGAAGGAAACTGCCATCCTTCCCTGGTCTGGCCTACATGTGACTCCAGACCCCGCAGCAATGTGGTTGATTCTTAACTGCCCCCTGCAATGGCCCTAGCAAGCCTCTTGGTTCAAGGGATGGCTAATAGAGAGGGGCCACTCTTTCTGACATTTACCTACCAAGGTTTGGCAGACGGGGGAAAAGGTCAGCAACACATGGGAAACCCAATGAATCCAGGGATGCCAGGCAGGAAACGGTGGATGACCCTTCTTCATGGACCCCTTTCCCAATCAGAGTATCCTTTCCCACTCAGCTCTGTTTCCATTCCTGGCAACCACAACACCCCACCCCCCATGCTCCAATAGGCTTTCCCCTTCCTCTGTTGTTATTCTGGCCCCACCCGTTCATTTCCACCCACTCCCGTAACCCCCTCGGATAATCTGGGCAATATTCCCTCATCACTGAGAGTGATCACCATCTGGCAGCTGCTTGTGGGATCGTGCTGTGCACAAAAGGTTGGCTGCGAGAGTATGTTACGTGATAGAAGAGCTGCAAAGGCACAGTCCAGCAGTCACAAAAGGCGCTATACAAATGCCGGTTCCGTTTTTGCTTCCACCAAAGAGTGGAAGTCCTAATATTTCTCTTGAGTAGGAATCTTACCCCCACAGCCTTGAACCACCTGCTCCTGTAGCCTTTCACTCAGAATCAAAGACAGCTGTTAACTGAGCCAAGCCGAGTACATTCACATTGGTCTTTGGGAACGCAATAGCCTAGGAATTCCCAAAAGTTAATAAAAAGTTGACAGAGGATGGATATTATCAAATTGGAGAGGGCTCAGAATAGGTTTACCAGGGTGCTGGTGGGACTGGAGGGACTGGAGGGTTTGCGCTATACAGATAGGCTGGGACTTTTTCACTGGAGCAAAGGAGGTTGAGGGGTAGATATTATAGAGGTTTATAAAATCATAAGTGGCAAAGATAAGGTGAAAAGCAAAAGTCTTTTCCCTACGGTAGATGAGTTCAAAACTAGGGGGCATATTTTTAAGAGAAGAGAGGAGAGGAGAGGAGAAAGATTTAAAAGGGACCTAAGGGGAAACATTTTCACACAGAATGTGATTTGTATATGGAATGAACTGCCAGAGGAAGTGGTAGATGCAGATACAATCATGACACTTAAAAGACATTTGAGGAGGTACATGAAAAGGAAAGGTTTAGAGGAATATGGGCCAAACGCAGACAGGTAGGACTAGAATCATAGAGATATACAATCCCCACCGTGTGGAAGCAGGCCATTCGACCCATCAAGTCCACATTGACCCTCCGAACAGCATCCTATCCAGACCCACCCCTCTACCCTATCCCTGTAACCCTGTATTTCCCATAGCCAATCCTCGTAACCTGCACATCTTCAGACTAGTTTAGTTTAGGAAACTTGGTCAGCATGGAGGAGTTAGAATAAAGGGTCTGTTTCCATGCTATATGACTATGACTCTATGAAAAAGGTGAAGAACTCGGATAACTCTAAATGACCCAATGCCAAGTATCAGCTTGTGACTAGGCCCCAGGCTTTATCATATTGGAATGAATTCAACTTGAAGTCCATGTGATTCCAAGTCTAATTCCGGAGAGGAGCTATCGAGTGAAGCATGTTATTCCTGGAGGTGGGAGCTTGGAGACAGGAAGGGCATTTAAGTGGGTTGGTGTAGCAAACCCTACCCCTTTCTTGCTTCCACTAGAGTTAAATTCTGGGCAACAAGACACATGGTTGACCTTCTTACTGCACTGTCAGTTCAGGGCCCTTACCAATTAAAGACCAAATAAGGACTTTATCCCACCTGAACTGGCATTAACCAAGCTGGCATTTGGGTCTGTTGCCACATGCCACTCTCGACATGTGAACCCAGAACTGTAGAATTGTTACAGTGCAGAAAGAGGCCATTCAGCCCATTGTGCCTGCACCAGTTCTGTTACCTAGGGCTAATCTCCTGCCATTTCCCCTTATCCCTACACACCATTTCTAACCAAATAACCATCCAATGCCCCTCTTTAATGCCTCAACTAAACCTGCCTGCACCACATTTCTGGGCAGTTGGGCAAATTGTCAACTCAGAGGTTCGGGCGGGTCCCTCAATCTCAGGCGAACAGGGAGGGACCCCAGCTCTGAGGAAGGGTCACCGGACCCGAAACGTTAACTCGGATTTTTTTTTGTTGTTCTTCACAGATGCTGCCAGACCTGCTGAGCTTTTCCAGCAACTTCTGTTTTTGACCCGAACCCCTGCCCTTGTTTCCGACAACTCTCCATTCCCCATTGCTCCCATTGCACACAACTTGTCTGTGGCTTGAATCCTCTATGATCCTGGGACACCAGGGGGTGTCGGGGACGGGGTCCTTCATGCAGCTGCCACAGACTCCTCAGTGATCCTCCTGAGGATCTCCTCGGATTGGCCAGTAGCTCTCTCCGAGTGGGACGGGGTCCTGGTTCTGGTGGTCCTGATTGGCATGTTGCTCCAAAGGGAGGACCTACCTTAGCTTTCCAGCCAGTGAGTAAGATCCCTGACACCCCAGCAAGGCTCTGTCCTACACCATCAGCAGCTGAAGCACATATTTACCTGAATGGTAATCAAACAAAAGTTCACTGATTGATTCCTGGGATGAGAAGGATCTCATTTTCACATTCCCTTGCACTTCTGCAAACGTGTGTCGTTATATCTTATACACAGCTAAAAGGAACAGCTTTTCTCTATTGACCTTATCCAAACCTGTTATAATCTCGAACACCTCCGCTATGTCCCCTTTTCCCTAAAGGGAACAGCCTCAGCTTCTCTGATCAAAGCTAATAGCTAAAATCCTTCATCCCTGGAACCAGAGATAGTAGGTCTAGGCCCGAAATGTCAGCTTTCCTGCTCCTATGATGCTGCTTGGCCTGCTGTGTTCATCCAGCTCTACACCTTGTTATCCCTGGAACCATTCTGGTAAATCTCCCTCCACACGCTCTCAAAGACTCTTGCAATCCTTTCTAAAGAACGGTGATCAGAATTGGGTCCAGTGCTCTAGTTAGGGCCTAACCAGAACTTTCTAAACATTGATTCAGAGATAGTAGGAACTGCAGATGCTGGAGAATCTGAGATAACAAGGTGTAGAGCTGGATGAACACAGCAGGCCAAACAGCATCAGAGGAGCAGGAAAGCTGACGTTTCGGGCCGAGACCCTTCTTCACAAATGGGGGAGGGGAAGGGGGTTCTGAAATAAATAGGGAGAGAGGGGAAGGCAGATAGAAGATGGATAGAGGAGAAGATAGGTGGAGAGGAGACAGACAGGTCAAAGAGGCGGGGATGGAGGCAGTAAAGGTGAGTGTAGGTGGGGAGTTAGGGAGGGGATAGGTCAGTCCAGGGAGGACGGACAGGTCAAGGGGGCGGGATGAGGTTAGTAGGTAGGAGATGGGGGTGGGGCTTGAGGTGGGAGGAGGGGATATGTGGGAAGAAGGACAGGTTAGGGAGACGGGGACGAGTTGGGCTGGTTTTGGGATGCGGTAGGGGGAGGGGAGATTTTGAAGCTTGTGAAGTCCACATTGATACCATTGTGCTGCAGGGTTTGCAGAGGCTTGGGGACCACTTTGCAGAACACCTACGCTCAGTTCGCTAACCAAGCGGAGGCTTGGGGACCGCTTTGCAGAACACCTACGCTCGGTTCGCACTAAACAACTGCACCTCCCAGTTGCGAACCATTTCAACTCCCCCTCCCATTCCTCAGATGACATGTCCATCCTGGGCCTCCTGCAGTGCCACAACGATGCCACCCGAAGGTTTCAGGAACACCAACTCATATTCCGCTTGGGAACCCTGCAGCCCAATGGTCAAATTCCACCATTTACCGTTGCAGGATTCGAATTCGGGTCCCCGGAATATTACCTGGTTTGCTGGATTAACAGTCTAGCGATAAGATCACTAAGCGCTTGCCTCCCCTTAGTTCTAGGGATAGTGAATGGAGGTGGAGTCGAGAAGTGGCACTTATTAAACAAGAACCCACTCAGTGACGCTCAGTTTGGGTTCCACCAGGGCCAATCAGCTCCTGACCTCATTCCAGCCTTGGTTCAAGTATGGACAAAAGAGCTGAATTCCAGAGGTGAGGTGAGAGTAACTACCCTTGACATCAAGGCCCCATTTGTCTGAGTGTGACATCAAGCAAAACTGGGGTCAATGGGAATCAGGGCGAAGAATTCTCCACCGGTCGGAGTGATACCTGGAAAAAAGAAGTTGACCTGTGGTTGTTGGAGGTCCATCATCTCAGCTCCAGGACATTTGGGGTGGCATGGTAGCTCAGTGGTTAGCACTGCTGCCTCGCAGTGCCAGGGACCCAGGTTCAACTCCAGCCTTGGGCGACTGTCTGTGTGGAATTTGCACATTCTCCCCATGTCTGTGTGAGTTTCCTCTGGGTGCTTTGGTTTCCTCCAACAGTCCAAAGTTAAGACATAGGAGTAGAAATTAGGCCACTTGGCCCATCGAGTCTGCTCAGCCATTCAATCATGGCTGATAAGTTCCTCAACTGCTTTCTCCTCGTAACCCTTGATCACCTTGATGTGCAGGCTAGGTGGATTGGCCATGCTGTAGTGACCAGGGATGTTTAGATTAGGTGGGTTAGACTTGGGAAATACAGTAGTAGGGGAATGGGTCTGGGTGGGATGCCCTTCAGAGGGGCAGTGTGGACTTGTTGGGCCGAATGGCCTGTTTCCATACTGTAGGGATTCTATGATCTC